GCGCTGTCCCGCCTCTGGGCCAGCGCGCTGATGCTGCGAGTTGGTTTTTGCAAAGAATGGTCTTTTGCAGGTCCCAGCTTTGGTAAGGGCAAGGAACAGATACATAGACAGAGATGTAGAATTTTTAAATGAAATGCTAAACTCAGGATTGCTTTTTTTGTTTGGAGAAATATTGGTGTTATTATGTTTAAAATTTAACAGGTATCAGCCTATATTACCTTCTGCTTTGGGCCTTACATAAGGGGGGGCTAGCTGTTTATATTCGGGGTAAAATAGCCATCTAGTAATAACTCTTTGTATGTAGTTTTAAAAAAATAGTTTACAAAGCAAATCTGCTTTAAGGAGGCACCTCTGCACACCCACTGCTTACTGAAAAAAAATGCAAAGTAAATGTAAGGCCGTGATGCGGGAAACTTGGAACTCAGGGCATTGTTGATGGAAATAGTTTGGCAGCTCCTGGAAAAGTTAAACGGAATTACCATGTGATCTAATCAAATGGAATTAGCACGTGAGCTAATCATTCTGCCAGATGTAAATGCAAAAAAAACACAAAACCAATCCAACGAAAGCAGGGACTCAGATACTTGTACACCAGTGTTGCCGACGGCAACCTGACATTATTCAAAACACCCCACCCAAGTGTCCATCCACAGGTTAATGGAAGAGAACATGTCGTATAGACATACAGTGGAATATTATTCAGCCTTAGAAACGAAGGACGTTCTGATACATGCTACAGTGTTAATGAACCTTGAAAACATGATGCTAAGCGAATGAAGTAAGCCAGTCACGAAAGACAAATATTGTGTGATTCTACTTATGTGAGGCACCTAGCAGAGGCAAATTTATAAAAGACCGAAAGTAGGGTAGTGGTTTCCCAAGAGCTGAGGAGTGGGAAGGATGGAGAGAGACTCTTTAATGGCTATAGCCACTGAACTGTATACTTAAAAATGGCCCAAATGGGTAATTTTGTGTTATGTATATATTATCATACTTTAAAGACACCTTCTTGCCCCCAAATAGGATTACTTTCTATGTAAAGATCTAACCATAGAGACCTTTTAATACTGAGTGTCCTAGCCCTAGCAGGTGGCACTTTCCTCCTGTAAAATTCTAAAACAACCCAGTGGAACTTTAAGTGCTGTTGAACACCAACTTCCACTCATTGTAGTCTGCGTCATATTTAAGCAATGACAACTTATCTTTTCTGTTAAAGGTAATCTCCTCACTCCCAGGTGGGTGGGTTGCCAAGATAAGCTCTACGCTATCACACTGTTACACTAGTGCTGTGGATGGGAATGGTCCCACATGCCAGCTCAAAAACGAGCTTTGAGTCCTTTCACTAAAACGTACAGATCTTGAGCTGGGAGTACTGAGAGTGACGTCATTAAGGAGGACAGCGTCGGGCTGAGCTCTGATGCTCAATTCTCAAAAAAATTACTTCTATCTCTAGACCTGCCTTTCCCAAGTGAATCTTGATAACCTTCAAGAGCCAGGTGAGAAGAGGGCCGTGCTGTACTAGGAGAGGCCACATGGACATATGCCAGGTAAGGCTCTAAGTTCTACTCTTAGAACCCTACTTACTGCCAGAAAACCTCACTGGGCATGGCTCCGTGCTTTTGAGACAGCAAAAATTCAGAAACAATTATTTAGCGGTTATATTTATTACCGTTGCTAGTAATAAGAATAAACAGCTGACATTCGTCGGACTTCCTGGGTACCAAGAGCCATCGTCAGTAAATTCTCGTAAAACTCTGCACTGTTACTATCTGTTTTTGCCAGTGACGCTCAGAATGGTAAAGAACTTGGCTCAGGGTCATCCTGCCAGTCATTTGTAGTCTGGACTCACAGGTAGGGCCTATCTGGCTGCAGAGTTCAGGTCCATAACTGTTACCCACGTTTACACATTAGCTCACAAAAATAAGACAAGATGTGTCCCAGCTATTTTATTTAAAAACAAAAACAAACCAGCGCTTCTGGGATTTAGGCTATAGCTCTTTAGAATCTCTGTCGATAAGGAGTTCCTGTGCTTCTTCAGATGTCCCCAGTTGTCCTGGTGTGAGTTCCTGGTTTGCTCACCCACCAGCTGGAGCAGTACCTGAAGGCTGGGATCCTAAGTTTCACCTTGAACTTGAGCCTTCCCAGATTCAGGATCATTATTAGAATCAGCCAGATTCTTCCAAACTAATCAAAGTGCTCTTTTATTTCCAGTGATTTAAATGCTTAGCTATTGTTGCTATTCCTTTCATCTTTATTTATAGAACAAACAGAAGGTTTTAGACGACTATATTTAGAAATGCCATCTGGTAGGCAAACCATTGAACAAAAATGTCTTGTTCCTTTCATGTGACTGCATTACTTTGAAATGTAATTAAGTTTCAGGATGGTTGTTTGCTTCTTTTATGGTGGATCTTTTGCCCTGTTGAACTTGGGGGCGGGGGGGAATTATCCCTGGAAGATTTTTATTGGTACATTCTTTTCTTCTTTGTGTATCTTTTAATTATTTTGTTGTTGCTTAATTTGCTTTTCAGCCAGTCTGTGTGCCCATTATGGATACACTCCATTTTGGTAACTTCATTGTCTAAACTAAGAGAATCAAGTAAACAAAATAAAAGCAAAAATGAAAAATCTCCTTTTTTTCAGGGTTTCGATATCTATTGGGATCTAAATATACAAATGTCAGGGTCAGAGTTTAGTTTGCTGTCCACTACGTGTTTAGAAATCCTCCAAGGCACACTTGTTGGCTTAAAAAAGTGATTGAAATATTAGCCATTTAGAGTAGTATATTTGGTGTTTTCACATGATTGCTGTTCAATGAAATCATGTTAGTCATGCAGACACTGCACAGTTATACATTTTCTGTTTTAATCATTTTCGAGCATCAAATTATTTCCTCTCCATTGGTTGGTTTTTATCTGTTGCATTATTGAAAGGGACAGAGAAACACATGTATATAAGCAATGCACACACATTGGGTAAAATGCCTCAGCAGTAGATTTAAAAATTTTATACATGAACAATGTAAGTTTCTTTATACATTCCCCTTATCCATTTATGAAAAATGACTAGGAAAAAACTTAAAGGTTCTGAATTTTTATAAAACAGAACTAAACTCTTTAGAAAGGAAGGGTTATGTGGGATTATAAACTTTAATATAGCCCTTGCCCCAGTTCTAGGGATCTTAAACTTTTTTCCTGTTCTGGGCTCAGATGCCCTTTTTACCTGCTCTTAGGGCCACACTTCACACAGCATTTGCACATTTGACCGTTTACTTTTCTGTCTTTCCCATTCCCCACTCTCATTCTATGGGCCTAAAAACAGTCAACAAAAATAAAGAGTTTTTTTTTAATGCTGTCACTGTGCGAAATTCTTTGTAAGCATTCTTTTACTTGAAGGAAGACTAGAAGGGGGGTGTGTGTGTGTAAAGAGAATTTTCACTCAATTTTTCTCCCATTTTCCCCACTCGTTTATATTTACATGCTCATTATAGAATGCATAATAGACAAAGGATACTCAAAAACGCCACTAACTACAGCTGTGTCAATAGGAAAAGTACAAGAGATGAGCAAGCCGTCTACTGAATAATTTACATTTTTTAAAACACACTAAACCTCAGCGTTTGGAACCATAACTGAAAATCTCAACTTCTTACTTTAGTTTGCACTGATGATGATCTTTGCAAAACTGTTTATCTGTGTCATTTATTTCTCTCTTCTAACAATTTGTATATGCTTCTAACTAACATTGAAGGCTAAATGGAAAAACATTAGCAATATTTTGTTTATGAAGACAAGTGGCTTGACTGTAATAAAAATATTGATTCATGTCTTGCTTCTCAGTGAGCAGTGCCACCCATGAAGCCTGTTGGCACTTGAAATATAATTTCAAGAAAGCCAGAGAAAGTACATACCGTTGCTTGCAGAAGTATGAATTATTTATTTTTCTTAACAAAAAATGTAAAATGCATCAATGTTCAGCGTAGCCTGAAAACAATTTAATGGTAGTATTTACCTAAACTATGTAAAACATTAAAAGGGCTTTTAATATATTAATATAGACCATAAGGATGTATATTCCTTTCTATCCAGTATGGGCATAAAATTTAAAATCTAAAAAAATTCAAGCATTAAAAGATAAATAGTAATCAGCTTTTACTAAGTTACTTCTTTTTTTTAAAAAAAGGAGTAGATTCACATATGCTATATAGATTTAAATCTTCCTCTTCCCCATAAAAAAAAAAGGCTATTTATGTAGGTTTTTTACATTGTGCAGGTGGAGTTGATAGACGAGAAAGAGTGTTTCATGGTTATTAAAATCATTGAATATACGAACAATTGCTCTCTCATGCCACTCTTGTCAGAGACCAGTTCTGTTCTGTCACGTGGTTAACATCTGGAAGCCACTTGGAGTAACTACCACCAACTTGTTGCTTACTCAGAAAAGACTTACTAGAACCCGCCGAGAGAAGGCAGAGTCCACGTTTCCTCTGATACACACACACATCGACTCAAATCTCATCACTTTAAGCCATTATTCAGTCTGCTGGAAAGACCAGGCTATTCATAAACGTGTTCTTTGTCTTAAAACAAACTTCCAGAAAACATAAAAATGCACGACACATGGAACCTCTTGGTTATTTCAGTTCACACCGGACATGATTTTCATTTTGACCCATGGCCCTGGCCGTAAACACAAGGTGAATGCATTTCCCCCCCTACAAGTTGTACTTTGTGTAAAGCACCGAGTTTCCCTCATAACATCATTAAGGGGACTTGTTCATTTCTGATTAAGAAGAAAAATATGGAGTGTCATATGAAAAGTCCAGCCCTACTCTTCATATGCAACTGTAATAATTTCTTAACTATGTTCCCCAAATCTCAGGCATTTCCAGTAGGGTCAATCCAAGAAGCATCTCTAGGGATTTCATTTAAAAGATTCATATGAGCTTTTTTTTTTTTTTTTTTTTTTTTTT